AGAGAGAGAGAGAGAGAGAGAGACGAAGCAAAGTGAAATCGCACCCAGGCAGTTCAAGGTCACTGTCTAGTGTAGTAAATAGGATCTACATTTTATGCAAATTAATGTCTCGAAAGAGCATCAGTCACTGCAAGTGGAAAGAAGAGGCAGAAAACGCCTTAACTTTTGGTTACACTTCTCTCCTCATGCACAGTCCTCCAAGTTCTCTTATTTATTAATATTTTATTATCCTTGGCAGTTCTCCGATTTCAAACCAGTTCTGTCCTAATGTGTGGACTTTGTGAAATAACATTTCCCTTACACTGCCTTGTTATTTCTTCTCTAAATATTCCACGGGGTTTATCTCAAGTGCGCCCTGCATTTGAATATACTCCTTTGTTTCCCCTGGATCCGTGTTTTAAAAATTAAATATGGCCCCCGTCAAGATATTTACATTTTAAGTTTAAAGAACTAAGCTATATCCCTCACTTTGCCCCAAGAAAGCATAAATAAACTTAGTTCACTCTTGGAAATTTTCCATCCCAAAGATATTGCAGTAAATTGCATATTTTATTCTATTTTTAACAAGAGTGAAATAATATAAAAATGTGACTTTTTGATTAGACATTTCTAGCAATTACTTTCTCTTTCTAGCTGAATTTCTTGCAAAACATGCTGGATGTTTAAGTTAAATATCTTTGGTATTTAATTAATGAAAAGTTAGTTACATGGCCAGAAGAAAGAATTTAAAGAAAAATAAATTAAAAGAGGAATAAAATATGCACTGAATAAGGTAAATCTATAGGACTTTCCTTATTTCAATCCAGTTACATATAATTTAAATTACTGGAATTGGCTATTTCTGATAGGGAAAGTATTTTTACAAAGATAGGATAGTAAAATGGAATACATAGTGGTGAAGGGTGGGGGTGGGGGGGTGATCAAAAGATCGAAGACTGTTCGATGTGTCTGTATAAAAATGTCCAGAGTTAGCCGTCCTTTGATTTAATTTAATTTAATATGCAGAATATTTGTGTTTGTTTTGGTTTAAAAAATCAGGTTAAACGATTAAGAAAATCTACATCGCTCTTGTCTTCTCAGTGCACTTAATAGTTAAATGCTTATGATGCCACTACATTTTCCCCAACACTGCCAGCAGAGGATATCATTCTCCTGCTGGATTAATGTAAACTGATGCCTACATCCTCTGTAAGGCAACTTCAGAAAAGTTTATTTTGTCCATGACGCTCAACTTTTCTCACAATCACAATTGGCTCTGCATACTGTCATTTCATGGCGTGGACCCTGTACCAACACGCCAGTTAATGTGCTAGGATTCAAGAGAATCTTGATAAACTCTGTTTCAGAGCGTGCAGAATGTTTTCAAACATATTTTATGTTCTTTACTCTTCATGTGGGTGGGTTGGTGGGTGGGTGAGGGTTGGTGGAGAAGTTAGGGCTAGAACAGGTTTGTTAAATCTTTCTATGGTGCAGTTGTCATCCAAATGACTTTGAGATGCCCACAGGACAGTAACTTTCATTCAAAGTGCATCATAATAAAGATATTAACTTTTCTATGTATATTTCTTAAAGGCTAATAAACACATTGGCTTCAAAACCCTTTGTTACTGTGCTGAAACATATACAAGAGACATTTTATATTTCTAAATGAGCAGAAAACAAGAAGTTTGAGATAGATAGATAGATAGATAGATAGATAGATAGATAGATATTAATTACCTTAAAAAGAATTACTTGACAAATACAGAGAGCAATTCCTTTTATTTTCCTCTTTTACTATTAAAAATATCTCAACAAAGACTGGAAAATTTCCATGTT